AGCACTGGCAGAAGTGGAGACATGGAAACGATAGAACATTTTGGTGGCTCGATCAGGGGACTGGTCCCGAGATGCACTGAGAGACGTTCCTATCGGAATGCAAAAGAGTCATCCCGCCGATGTTTTCAGAGACTCTCATCACACACTTCGATACACTTCAATTCATTCTCATGCAAATCGTGTGTTGAGGTGCCTCGTTTGGCCTCATTCTTGCGACAGCCATCCCCTCCTCTGCCTCCATGTTCAGCAGACAGTGGATGAACAATGAATTCATCTGCTTCCAACAAAGTTTTGGCAAGAATGCAGGTGGAATGAAATGCCAAACTTGGATGTAACTCTCAAAACAGGTGCCAATCGTTGTGTGTTTGGTGGAAGTCAGCAACCTCAAAAATCTCTGTCTTCATCCACTTTAATGCACAAAAAAACATAAATAGGATCTTCACCATATGTGCTGAGACTAGTCATAGAAACAAGCACTGTGAATGATTGTCAAAATACTTACGTGAATCTGTACTATTCATGGTTTCGATGCTCAGGTAGAGGTGCATTACGAGGGACTAGAGAATTGGATGTGAAATCTAGAGCGGCAAATTGGTGGTGCCGCCCCTTCTCCATTTCACCCGGTTATCCCCTTCACTGGAATCTGAAAAACCAGTGTTAACCTTCATATCCAAGTTCAAGTGAAGCAGGCTCAATAGATGCTTGTGTAGCTGCAGGCAGGTGTTGATGCTGAAGATTGCAACTCATGCATCATTGTTTTCCATGGCGTTGTACCTAAGGCCTCTAAATTTACTTGTTTATTTATTGCTCTTTCTGGTCACCAGATAGTGTTTCCTACGATACTGCAAAGTTTACTTTTGGTTGTCTAAACGAGATTCTCAAACGTTCCCAAGTTCCTCATTTCTATAATTCAATATCCAATACCCTAGTCTAGAGTTGATGCTGGTTCTGTGCTCTTGGCTTTCCACAAGAAAAGATAGCAGTGGATGCTGCTCTGAAAGTGAGAACCTCATTCTTCCTGCTATCAATGCAGATGTGAGGGCACTCTGAAATCTGTCCTCCTAGCACAAAGTTTTTTTTTTTTTTTTTTTTTTTTTTTTTTTGCATGAGGAGATCGTGTTGAAGGAATGCACACAGTCTCCCCAGTTTTCCTGTGTATAGATAGTAGCATCGGATGTGTTGAAGGAACACATTTGGATAAAAAGATATTACTTTTGTACATTGTAGATGATGGTGATTGAGTTGGATTTAGCTCCACGTTTTGTCTCACAGAATTTATGAGATTGAATTACATGTGGTTATCAAGTCAATCAATGGAAGCTGTGGGTTCCGTCAGAAGGTTACATGTGAAAAGAACAACGATCTCTCAAGTTTGACACATTTGTGCAAAATCACTTGTTTTACAGTAGTTTTTTTTCGGTAGCCAATTGAATTTGCTAATTATCACGAATACTTTTATTTGTTTCTGCAATAGAGAATTCAATAGAGTCACGATGTTATCCGTTACAATCTATATTCAGTTGAATTTCACATGTACATCGATCAAAAAGTAACAAATAAAAACACATTACCATGATATTGGTGGATGGTTTGTTTTGTTTACTTTTATAATACATTAAAGATATTGGTGATTGTATATGATGATTTTTTTAAATAACTAAACTGTTTAGCAAACATGCTTTGATTAATGGTGGTAGAAACAGATGTTAGGTGTACAATCTCTAATTGGATGTAAATTGAAATTTATGAACTCTCCCCCCTTCCTGCATGTATTAATCTACGAGTGGATTTGTGTTAGTCCTTCACCTATATGTATACTATTTATTTTTTCTCTAATTTTTTTTAACATGTTATTCTTTTTAAGGCCTATATTTTTTTCCAAAAACACATTATATATTACAAGATCGTAGATTTATGTACATTTTAATAAAATTAATTATTTTTGGTTAGAATATCACTAAATGATTTGCTATAAATTTACAAATAAATAATTTTAATCAATTATAAATATAAAAACTAAATAATTTCATGTAAGATCTATATAGATAATTTAAATTCTAATCTCAAAATTTATGTATATTTTTAATTATTAATTATAAAATAGATTCACAATATTAAACATGCTAATATTTTAAATAATATTTTTATTTTGAAATATAGATATTAATTATTTAATATGAAATTACTGCTTGTATAAATTTAATGTATGTATATAACTACAAAGAAAATTCTATTTAATATTAATTTTATAAAATTCTAAAATATTACAAATTAAGTAAATTAAAATAAATCCTACTTATTTTATCAATATTTTTAAGTTACAAAATTGTTAGGATGAAAGAATGCACAATTTGATATATATATATATATATATATATATATATATAAACACTTAATTCAAAAGAATATGATTTAATTTTAAATTTATAAAAACCAATATTAAAATATATTTTGAATAAAATAGCTTTGATGGCATTTTTAAGTATTTATTTTTTATGTTTATATATTTAATAGTAATAATAATTTAGTCAATCTATAATTTTTATGAAAAAAAAAAATCTTATTTTAATTAAATTTTATAACAATTTTTTCTAATATTTTAATTGAAGCATGTACCTTTGAGATTTTTGTATAATTTTGTTTTTTATGATTTCTTGAAAATAGAAATATATTTATAAAAATAGAAAAGTATTAAATAGACCCAATATTTTACTATATTTATCTACCCATTATAAAAAGAAAAAAATGACATGTAGAATTATTTCTTTAGTATTGGATTTGAAACCAATGAAATTCAACCACATTCATCATAATTACCATATTCTTCATCATGGATAGGTTGATTTGGTAAAAATTTGAGTCTATTTAATATTCCCTTAAAAATATTAAGCTTATTATCAAAAATAATAATTTAAAATATAATAAGAACCAATTATATTTTATTATATATATATATATATATATATATATAGTGATAAAATTCTTAAAATATGAATAAATGATTTAGAATCTTAAAATTTATATCACATAAAAAAAGAATTTTGATTAGGTTTAAAAGATAATTTAGTATTATTTTGTTTATCATTGAGTATATGTATAAACACAAAGAAAAAATTGGAACTTTGATGAAGGCTATAGGAACAAACAAGGATGTAAATACTTAACTTAATTGAGCCAAAATTCTAATTTTGCATCAAGTTGGGTTTTTTTTTGAAACACCATTGTTTGTTTTGTAGTAAAGTAATATCTTGTGTTTTGTGTTTATATTCTAGTTTTTGTTTCTCATTATATATATATATATATATATATATATATAGATTTTTAATATTAATGTATATTTTTTCTTTTCTTAATAGTTATTTATTCTTGCTTTAAGATAAAATAGCAAAAAAATAACAATACAACAAAGAATCTAAATTTATTTAAAAGTAAAACTGATATTAGAATCAATTTAATTCTAATATCAATAGGTAAATACTTCTAATTTATCCTTCTTTTTTTTTTAATACCAATCTACTTTTAAAATTTAATTCAATCTTTTCTATTATGTTAAAATATACATTGTTTGTATTATACGAAGGCATTTATTAATGATTTTTTAACAAAATAATTTCAAAAATTATACATGGAATTAAAATGGATCTTCAAAAAATAAAATGCTAAAAGATATAAATATAATTTTTTAAAAGCTTAAAATAGATGAATTTCTAATTGTAATTTTTTAAATGTGCATCAAAGGTTATATTATTGGAGTGGTACTTAAGATACATTTAGAGTATAAAATCTCTTTGATGTTTAACTATATAAAAATCATTGATAGGACATTATAAGCAAAGAAAAACAATGAAAATAATCTCAAAATGGTGAACAAAGAAGATATTAAACAATGTACTTTTAAACCACCAAATTATAAATCCTCAAATATTACCTTTAAAAAAATTATTAAAAGAAAAAAAAAAATATATATATATATATATATATATATATATATTTATAAGCTAAAAAAATTTTTAAATCCATAAATTTGATTATATATAAAATAGGTAGTATTCACAATTTAGAACCACACACACTTGTAACCAAGCATATATACAAACTAATGAGTAAAAAGGTCTACTAGAACTTGTGTGTGAAGTAGACAATTGTAACCAAGCATATATACAAACTAATGAGTAAAAAGGTCTACTAGAACTTGTGTGTGAAGTAGACAACAATTGTAATTTATCTTTTATTCAAACTTTCACTAACTACCTAATTGTTTGAATGGGACAAGCAAAAACAAAAAGTAAATGCATTGCTTGACTATTTGTAGATGAATGTTTATAAAGTAAGCAACAAAGAAGCTTTGTCCAAAGTTTCTACAAGTACATAAGGTATTCTAATGTTTTAGCTGAAGATTCTCTTCAATTCATTTTTGACATATAGGCCAACCTAGTTCTAAACAATGGTGGATTACAAAACCAAGAATCTAACTTTTACAAAACCAAAAATCCAACTTTTATAAAACTAAGAAGTGTGGCACCTAATTATGATATTATTCCACCCCAAACAATTAACAACTACCTCCTATTGATAATTCATGCATACTTTATGCATACTCGTCCCAAATACACAATAAATTTTATTTATTGCTCCCAACTCAACATCATTTTAACCAACCCCCAACTCATTTCCAACCAATGGATGAAAGACAATAGGTAGCCACCCTATACATGTTGGGAATGGGAAGTGGTTGACAATGGGTTTGCTACCTTACTGGCAACCTGACCGTTTCACCTGATCTGATGTGCAAGCACCGAAACCAGAGGTATCATCCACAAGATCTCATGTTCAGAATCTGCAGTAATCAATTTGCTACGTCCAATTTGCAAGCCAGTTACTTTGTCCATTTTGAAATTGATACTCTATGAAAGTTGCGTCTACAATTTCGAATATAGCAGACAGTAAGAGCAGAATTCTCTCAGCATGCAGCACAGGCACATCACACTTACAATATTGCAGTCTGAGAACAGCATCACTGGTTGGTCCCTGCAATGACATGGTGACAAAGCTATAATATTCACAAGCCACTTGCTGTGCAAAAGTACATCCTTGGCGGAATGGCAAAAACCACTCATCCGGTATAATTGCACACTGACTTGCCCCTATGCAGTTAACATTTAATGACTACATTACTAGCCCAGTCCATCGCTACATCGTCGTCATCTTCACCCTTGCAATGTAACAACAAAGAACCTTCCCTGGCAAACCACCCTCTGCTCCACAAGGAGACTCCAAAATTTTGCCCACAAAGTTGTCCAAAGTGCACAGCAACAGCATCTGAAATCTAAAAATGGGAGTTCGCAAAAGAAATCGGAATGCTTTCGAAATAGCTAGCGATGGCAGAAAGGACCACCAAGGGATCTGCTTTCCCCCTAGGTTCGTTTGTATTTCAGTGTCTCCTTCGAGTTCAGATATGCGTGTCATAGTGCGTTGTAAACATAAGCTGGATACCTAAGTCGATGACTGTTGAGGTAGGGAAACCCAGATCATTGCAAAAGCTTATGCGATGAAGAGTCTAGAGATCTTCGAGGGCTATCACTTGGGCTGTCAAAGGATGAAGGCGATAGTGCACATTCTTGCCAAGGAAGTGAAGTAGGGCGCTGCTCTGTGGAGTTACTTGATAGTCTACTAAGACGCCCACCATCTCCATTCTGCGACGATGACGAAGAATTTCTTGAAAAAAACCTAGATGAGCTTCCCGTATTGAAGGAGCTACGTCGACCTGAATTACTATTGGGAGACTCTGAAGATGGTGAACCAGATCCAAACATAAAACGCATGGCATTCTTGGTTACTGACATCACCTCCACTTTCGCTTGCCGCAACTACATGTTATAAAATACAAAGAACACATTAGAGTGGTACATTATTGGAATCAGGAGATCAAAACGGCTAAGCTTCAAATCTGGCTAACTCACCAATGTAGCTGTAATAATGATTTAAGTAATAATTTAGAAATGTTTTATAGCACAAAAGAAGTCGAGTGTGGTTTTAAAAAGTATTTTATTTTACTTCAATAAATAAAGAGCTCTGAACACGTGCATTGATAAAACAACTTTAATATTAAACCATTAAAGACTGGAAAAATCTGAAATTAGGTTGCTGACGGTATTTGAAAGAGTCATACCCCTTCCATAGTTTTCTCGGCAACTTCAATTGCAGCATCACCAGCATTTGCAAATCTGTTCACCCACACTGTACAATCAAGCGTCCAATCAATTACTGCAGCGATCAGCAAGTCCATGCATAAAAACATATAATAGTACATAATTTAATCCTGCAATTCAATCTCTACTTATGGTGAAATTGAGACGTCAATATTATTCACAACGTAGGAAAGAGTAAGACCATGAGAATGGGTAACAGCTTAACACTTACATGGCAGTTTCTGAGCCCCAATCTTGCAACAAAGTGCATCGCAAAAATGGTTGCAATTACGCTTAAGAAGATCGTAACGATTCCCAGGCCATTCTCGTGAAATGTCTCTCAAAACTTTTTGTACGTCTGCCTTCGCCATTACTGTCTTTCCCAATGGAATGCTCTCTCTGTACGTATACATGGGGTTTTTCTTTGGAGAACAGCTGAAAACTCCACTTCCATTCTCACAAAACCCAAATGACCATTCCTTTCCATAAACCTGTACGCAGATATTACAGGCAGCTCAGCAACCTCAAATATCAGGCAGTATCGTAATCACACCTCCTACTGGTGCGAAATACTATGTTTCAAAAATCTGTAAGATGGTGTATAGTTCTCGCATACAGCTCCAGATTCTTCAAGTTTCTAAATTGTACTTTCTCTGAACCCACAGTCGATACCTCCTGATAATGACATGAATACGGGTCTTCACCCCCAGGGCACCTCAAACATGATCCGATTGTACGATAACCAAATACTCCTTCAGGCATTATGTAAGAAATTTAAGGATTATTCCAGCCAAGAGCACCCTAAGTTCGATACGAATAGTTATCTATGCATACGGTGAGTTTAATGTACACAATACGTGCTAACCTCTGTACTTGACTTCATGAGTAAATACAGCCGACAATCGTAAAACTTACACCAAATGCTTCTACCTTCTTACCAGGTTCGTGCCAAGAAAATCCACGCACAATCCCTCCCAAGGTAAGCAAAATTCACTGACAAAACGCGTGACTCTGACTCTTTATCAAGATCCTGGCTCGTTCTGAATTTTAAAAAAATCTTAATCCGTAGCAAAGTAAGGCACAGTAAGCAACGCAATTCACGAAACAATACGATGATCACAGAAAAAAGACTAACCTCTACTGCTCCATGAAAGATGCCACCTAAGCCAATACCACCGCGCATAATCTTATTAAGGTTCACGATGACCGAGTTCGTCCGCACATTAGCGCTATTCGTGACATCATACACATGTAATATCACTTTTCGGTCGTCTTCCATGGCTCAACCCTCTGTGAACTCTCCACTCTCCACTAAACCGATCTCAACCCACTCGCAAGGCAAACAACACACACCCCAAGCGACCCTAATGGCAGAGCCCCACCGCGTGATCCAACGTCCCACTCCATGGCGATCACGATTTCTCTTCACCTCCCTCCGAGTCAACCTCCGCAAACACTCAAGCGCTCCCCCTTCCACCTCACGCCACCTCTTAACGCTCCCTGTCCCTGCTCCTTCACACGCGTGGGGTTGAGTGAGGATGGACAACCTTCTTCCAACGAGATTCCAAGCATGACGAAACTGTTGAGTGCAGTTGCAGAGTAGTGAGCATGCACAACGCAGAACCAGAGCGGTAGGGAGCGGCTTCGAGAGGTTTGGTTCCTGTTGTGAGGTTGGCTTCACATCATCAGCACAAACGAGGGACGATTGAGCACGATTGCAACGACTAAAATGCGGGGAGAGGAGTGCGAGAGAAGCAACGAGGACAGGGGGAAAATGTGCGAGGAGGTAGAGGAATCCCTGTATAGTCCAAGGGCCAGGCGATGCAGTTTGGATGAATGATATTGTGGGCCCGATATGAATGAATGAATTTCTCTGTAGATGAATGAGCCCACGGACATATAGCCTCCACCATCATCCTTCAGTTATCATCACACATATTTGATACCACGCTTGTGGTGTTGTTAAAATAGCGTTGAGTGGTTCTATTTTTATATTCCTCTGCTATTTGTATACTTGACAGAATATGTTGATTATTAAGCATGTTTTTGGTTTTGTCACCAGTATTTTCTTTTGATGTTATGTATTGAAATTGAGATTTTATACTGTGATTAATTTGTAGTAGTCTGTGTAGTTGTTTTTGTGTGTTTGATACAGAGATAAATAATTCCAAGCAAACTACAACAATTAAATTTGCAAAGGTTCACCCTTATATATGTTTCGTATTACGTGCATGCTTCCTCAAAAAAACGATTGATACGAATTAACAAATATGTTACTTTCTCAAGTTTATTATGTATATGTACATATATTAATAAATTACAGTTTTTAAATACTATTTCTTCAATGATATGAAAATAAAATAAAATAAAAAACAATACAAGAATGGGTCATGTTTTAAAGATATTTAAATAGCTTTGAATGCAATTTTATCATTCAAAGTAAGTCATGTTGGCAATGAAAACAAGTAAAAAAAGAATAAGCAAAGAATACTCAAACATCGAACTTTATGAGAGATGATTTAGAATCAATTGCTTGGACTAAGAGTATAGAAATGAGAGGGGCAGTTGTGCTACATGGACGCAGACAAAACACATTGATTGCCTATCGTTATTGTTTTAATTCAGAGTAGATAACAAATAAATCATTTCTTATAGTTCCATAAGAATAACCTCATAAAAGCTGCAAAAATTCAATGAAAGAATCATATCATAACAGCCAAACAATAGAATACAACACACACAAAGCCCTCCTAGTCCCATGGAAATAGATATACAAAGAGTGGTTACTTTTGGATGATAAATAACACAATGATATTAGCTTAACGAAAAATCGGCGCTCGAGACATTCATCTGAGAGTATCGTTCATCCAGGGGAAGCTCATTCATCCACGCCTTCTCTCAATTCGAAAGTGAGCGGGGCTGACGCAAGGAAGCTGTGGAATGGCGGAGACTGCCGGTTGAGTGTACGTGAGGCAACGAATTCGACCATCACCAACTTAGAACAAGCTTCCGATAATCGACGCAACCAGCGCCAACAGCTTCCGATTGCTCCTCGTTTCTTTAATTTATTTATTTTGTTTTGCCGGTACAGGAAGCTATCGCGCTCCAATTTGTTCCATTCGAAGTTATGAGATCATCGAGCGCCGGTGTTGCTTTCCTTCGTTAGGTGCGTACATCTCCATCTCAATCGCCGAGCAGAATTCTCGTTTTCAGATCAGTGACCCTGGTTTTTATGCTCTCTGCTTACTCTCGGGTCTCTGCATTTGAGTTGAGGGCCTCTCGTTTAGGTTCTGTCACACCATGTTTGGCTGTTGTTGTGTGTTTGTTGGCTTGATCTTACGATTTTGGGCGGCGTGATTTGTGGAGTTTTGAATTTGCTTAGTTTCATCTGTATGTTTTTATTTAATTGTGTTTTTAAGCTAGGTGTATGTGAAAATGTTACATATCTTACAATTGTGGAATTACACGTGATGTGAAGTTATATATGGCATGGTATCCCATGTTTATGTAGATGTTTGAAGATAGCAAAGAATTCTCTTATTGTAGGGTGTTGTGTTGGAATCAATTAGCTGGAAGGCTATGCTTTAATTCTGGGGCTGCCATGTGTCTGCGCGTCTAGAAGTCATAAACCTTGGTTACTTCAATTACAGAGTCGATTTTGAAATTTCAGAATCCTAGAACCCACCTTCGTTGTGCGCTCCCAAGCAGTATTATTCAAGATGGGCGAGGGGATGGGAGATGTTAGTGAGATTCAGAAGCGGATCACTCAGATGCGACTTTGGGAGTTTCCTGACAAATATGTTTTTGAGCCTACCGATTCCTTGGCTACTCAGTTTCTTTCGATAGATCGCTCCAGCGGTGACTTGAACAGTATCAGTAAATTAACCTCAACATACAATGCTCTTCTATTTTTATTTATTTATTTATTTTTTGCTTGGTTGCATTGGTTGTCGTGTTATATGTATCAAAATCGGCTATTGTGAATCATTATTTTAAAAACTTGAAATCACTCCGTGTGATTGGGATGCAGGTCAGCTTCCAGACTCCAATGCATCACATTCTCAAATTGTTTTCGGATTGGTGGGTGTATTCCGTCCCGTTGCAGGCAAGTCACAATGTCATATGCAGAGAGCTTTCACAGGCGTACTAGACGGGTTTAACATCACGATGAACTTCGCAGAGCTGTGCTGTTGGTCTGAAAGTCAGACGTTAGGGAATCATTCAGGTTAGAATTAAGCGTTCAGAGTGTTTCAAGCAGTATGACATCAAGGTTTGGCTTTGAGCTAAACTCTCGATTCACAGTTTTGAGAACTTCATGAGTCAGAGAACTGAAAACTCAAAGTAAACAGGATATAGCTGTTAGAAACCGAAACTACGCGGCGATCGCCATCAATGCCACTTCCGGTCTAGATAAAGAGTGGCAGCAGTGGTTATTTGATGCTTCATGTCATGCGCTTCCCACAATCGAAGTGCCATATGTCCACTGAACACTTTGAGTCGAAAAGTACGTAATTGAAATACCACCTGACTGCGTAGATGGTGTGATTTGGGATTCATCATTCTAAGTATTGGCGCAATTTTAGTAGACCGTATTAAAGTGAAAGGAGAAATGAAAAGATGCAACAGAACGCGCTTCTATTTACAATCTTCATGTGCAAAACTTCGTTGTCGAAAGAAATGAATGGATTGAACCTTTGAGTTTTGTCTTTGAAATTTTTAGCGCTACCAATTGTGTAGGTTCGTTCACAATTAGGTACGTTGGTAATGTGCCACTAGGATGTGAAATTCTTTTTACCATGTGCCAAATATTTAGTGTTGAATAGAGAACGTCATGAGATATCAGTCTTCTTCGATATGTCGAGGTCGAATTGACGTGTTGTGTTACATCTGGCTCTTGCAGCTGCTTATGCACTTGTAGTTAACGGTCGTCAGTCTATGGGCATATATAGAGGCCACCCTATCTACCGTGTGACTTCTCTTAAAGTTCTTCCCTGCAACAATAATATCCACGGAGCAACCCCTGAAGTGGTATAATTCCATATTTACAGCATCTTGTAATCTTTTGCTTACATGTTTCTACCTTCATCTTACTAAATATTGGACACTCACTATTTACTGTTACCCCAGAAAAAAGCTGAGGCCTACTTGGTGAGCGTGCTGAAGACCCTGGAGTCAACCCCCGGACTTTATTTCTCGTACGATGTTGATCTAACGCTGAAGTGAGTTGTTTCACCTAAGATAGATAGTTTGCTTGTCTGTAACTAAGCATCATGTCTCATGTTGCTTAATTATTTATATCACGAATGGCTTGCTTCTATCTTGACCGATGATGCGCTATTTTGGTTTTCCTTCCCAGTATATTTGTGATCATTTAAGTCTTGTCGATCTATTCATGGACCCTGCAGACATGAGAGTTAGAACAGCTGGACAATCATCAGTTACTCCTAATTCTGGGTTGTCAATAAACTGACTAGATTCTGATTTTCAATCGTAGTGCGGATAAATTTCAAGCTGCTTCGATGTCAGAACACCCGTCTGTTTGGAAGCATGTATGTTAACAAACATTCAAGCTTTGAACACATTTTTTTATGATAGATGTGGTGCCTTTGTATCTAGTCATCTTGGTTTATCAGTTTATCGGTATGTACATTGTTTTACAGCTCTTTTCATGGATTTCGATTGACTAGGATTGATGGGTTGAGCAGGCAGATGACAGATTCCTGTGGAACCGGATGTTGATGCGGGAGCTGATTGACCAACACGTATGTAGAGACATTGAATCTGCAACGATGAACTTAAATAAATGGCTTTGGTTGATTGTTGTGCTGGTTGACTTTCTTAATATTGTGGTTTTATGATCATATTGTGTTGGTTCTTATAGTATAAAATCTGTGATCTGTTTGAGTTTTGCAGCTGGAGCCTTATATTCTTCCTGTCATTCAAGGCAATATCCTACTGATTACCTCTACATGGTTTTGTCCTGGTGTTGGATGGATTGTGTCCAAGTGTTGGTCTCTGTTTTGTGGCAGAATCTCGGTTGCATAGAGAACTTCTACATCATTCTTAAATGTGAGGAATGGGATTATTAGATTGTTTTCTCTGCATGATCCTTAGTTGCTTTAATTACAATAGTCGACTTGTATTACCAAAGGATTTAGGCATTTGTATCGCAGTCATGAAGTTTTTAGAATCATTGAAATGAGTTTGGAGGAGGATCCTTCTATTGGCACTTGTGATTCCTTGACTGCTGTGAGCGTTTTCAAACCGTCGAGTCTACTGTCAAAGACAAAGCAGTGAAGACATCCTTGATTGCAAGACGTTCTATGAGGCGTGCTGGTTAGTTCTTGATTTCCTAAAGCATTTATCTTTTAACCAGATTTTTTCCTCCACGATACTGAACGAATGATTTTTCTGTTCTAATACACTCTATAATGAGTGTAAGGCGTAACGGACAATAATGTTTGCTATCAGGTAGATTCATACACCTCCGAATGTTGTGTTCATTTTCTATATTTTCATTAGGGACACGAATGTGGCGAAGGGGTGCTGACCTAGAAGGCAATGTCGCCAATTTCGTAGAGACAGAGCAAATACTTGAATCACATGGTTATTTTGCGTCTTACACTCAGGTTCTTCTAACTTCTTCGATGCGAATTACGTTTAAGATCTTCTCTAGTCTGTGGCTTTAGAAAACCTTGACGTTAGTAACTCTCAGATGTGAAACCACGTGCATTTAGTATTGTTTGTGTATTTTCTTCTTACAATCACAGTATTCGCTAATAAAGCTCG